CAGACAACCCCGTAACAATATGCGTTTTGTACTGCTGTTACACAGCACAAAACGCATAATAAAAAGAAGCATGGAAGCATGGTGCTAGATAAGAGGCCATCGCTGCTAATACCCAGACTGTTTGGGCTATCAGCGTAGGTTTCCCCTATTAGTGATGCTATTAGCGCGCTCGTACTCGCCGAACGCAGCTATGCCAGGTCGCTCGATCCTGGGCTGCATACCTCCAGTTAGTACCCACCACCTATTCTACGTATATTCAGGGCACCCGAGTGGTCGTTCACTTTTCCGTGGACATCCCTCACTAATGTTCATTGTCTCCCAGTTGTCAGCAAGGCGAGCAACATGTCCTGTCTATCGGATTTTACTTTTTCGCGTGGGCATAATCATATTTTGGAGGCCGCTCATCTGACGGAGAATCTGATTGTTTATTTGGTCGTGGAGAGATACACCAAGCATCCTCTGCTCCATTTCCATCACATCGCTATTAATGTAGTTTGGAAAAAAAAAAATAATTCATAAAAATGATGGTGTAGGAACTTACCCTCTTTTGTATGACCTCGGAGACGTATCTGTGGTCTGCAGATGTTGTCAGGATTTGGTATTGCGGGATGTTTGGTATAGTCGAAAATGAAAACCTATAAAAAGCAGCGTACTAGTTTCTTCGCGAAAAGCATAACCACTGAAAGGCAAAGCCCCAAGCTGTTGATACTTATAATAATCATGATTTGCACCGCAATAATAAGGGGGAGAAAAAGAAGTCTCACCTCGCTGTTTGGTGATTTTGTCGCCAAAAGAATCGGATTCTGTGGCATGAAACGTGCTCGATTCACCTCGCCCTCGTGGTTGATCTTGATTTCAACATCGATTTTCCCGGTGATCGAACCAAACCCACCAAATTCTGTAACTCAGATTCGAACAGATTGTGTGATTTTTTCCCAAACTTATAAGGAATTACCTCCTCTTTCGTTATCATATTTGGAAGCATCAAATTGTGCATCGTCCGTTGGGAGTTGTAATTTTGCGATCACAAGATGATTCTGTTCGTCCGATGTATGAGTACCAAGAATAAGGCGATGCGTTGTATAATCACTCCCTTCCACCCTTAAAAAAAAACCCAAAAGTAGACACCAATAAATTACATGCAAAGGGAATCCAGGATGATTCGGGAAACATTCCCCCACGTTTCATATTCTCAGGAAATAGCCTACGCTTTTGTTAAGCCGCACTGACCTGTCATTACATATCAAACTCTTCACAATTGTGATGGCCATAGGAGAGAGGTAATACGCCTTTCGCCCCTTTCCTGCAGCGGCGTAAGTATCAGTGCTACAAAATTCTGGGTTTAAAGCTAAAACTGCAGAAAACTCTCCCCGCTCCCTGCCCCTCTAGCAGTCACACTCCCCCGCTTGTCGCCGCTAGGAGTCCCATCCCCTTCTTTCTCCGCCCTCCCGCCCCCACCCCGTACCAAAGGAGCCGTTCTGTCCACCAAAATCATGTGATATCATCTGCGAAATCAGAAACGGCTACAAAATAACCAGAAATTTGCCGCTATATATGTATGTATGTACATATATATATGTATATATGTATATATACATGTATATATATATATGTATATATGTATACATATATATTTATATATATGTTTCTAACAAATCCAGCAACTAGCTATTCTGGGCCGCAGGAGAAGAGCGGTAATGCTGAAGTCTTACAAAATAAGGGAAGGTTACTAACCGTTGTACATCTGGTAGCCATTGCACTGTCAAGCTTGGCCATTCCAATGCATGTGTCATCACCTTGAAATATACAAGGTTTAGAATCTTCAAATATCTGAGATACTTGGAACAACTGTTATTTCTGGTCTAACTGAAAACTTTTTTCTTGCTTTGACTAATGCTACATCTCGTGGTGATCATCCTACCGTTCATTTCGTCTCCTGAAGAGATTACCAGCTCAACGATTCCTCCAAAAGAAAAAATTCAACAAGGCTTTGGCTGTTTCGATGTTTTTGGTATCTGCGTGGTTTGAGCATCAAAACCTTATCTCGAAAGCAGCTAGACGGGGATGAAATACCTCACCAATCAAAAAAAAAAATTTTTTTTTCAAAAAAAGAGCGAAATTTCAGGAACAAACCCACTATGAATTTTCACACAAAGTCCTGTGAAACATTTATAAGTAAAGGTTTCAAGTAAGGGGAAAACATATACATGTATATATATGTGTATATATACATATATGTATATACATATACATATATGTACATATATATATACATATATATGCATGCATTTCTGTAACGGTCAGTATAAGTTGTACACGTTTTTGTTGTGTACATTAAGTTGTATACGTTTTATCCTAGTAAATTCACTGGAGGATGCCAGTACAACGACTATGGCGCAAAATCTTTATACGAAAAAAAAA